CGAGCTTCTCCTTTTTTTCCTTTTTGTTTGGTTAGAGTAAATTACGGGACACTGAGATATGACCAAATAACCTACAAACCCTTGTGGTATTGGTAATTACAAATACCCCTAATTTTATCAAACCTCAGAAGGGTCCCCGTGATTGACTCATTATTTTAATCCCACTTTACAATCTTGAGAACTAGCTTTTTGACACAATGAAAATGTTTTTTTTTCCTTCTACCTCCAACCTAATTTCGAGAGTATGGAGTACGGAAGAACAAAATTCACAGTAAATTATTGAAACAATTATATTTTCTTACTATCAAAATATAGAATAATATTTGCTCACTAAATTATTAATTCATTCGATGGATCTTTTATTTGGATTGGTGAACATATTTGATATAAATCTGTGGAAGAAAATATAATTTTCAAATAACTTGACAACAAAATAGCTAAAGGATTTTTTTTTTTTTTTTTGTAAAATATATAATTTGTAAATGTGTTGATGAAAGATGTATTTTAATTTTTTTTTCACTTTGTAGGTTAGAAAGGATTGATGAATATAGTTTTTTTTTTTTTTTTTTTTTATTTGGCATCCGGCATCCTAAAAAAATATTATTAAAAATTAAATTGCCTTCATCGGCTTTAAAAATTCATTCGGATTGCATTATATATGATTTATTGTATTTCATAGATACAAAATATTATTAATTTATTTGCAAGGTGCAAAGTGAAATTAAGCATTTATTGTTCGTAATTTTTCGTACTTACCAAACACTATTTTATGAAAGTTATTGATTTAAACTTTAATAAGTTCTAGAACTGTGTTGTACATTGCCTATGCAATAAAAAGACAAGTAGTATAACTTGAATTATGAGCACTCAAAATTAAATAACTAAATGTAACAACAAACATGAACATGTGCCTATGAAGTAATCTTGATTGCTTAAGAAGGCTCAAGTTGGGTCAAACTCAGTCAATTGTGATCTCTATTTAGGAGGCCCGGGATGGGTCGAGGCATTAATGAAATGTCGTCTTGTACTGTTTTTTTTTCTTTTCTGCATGCACTATAAAATGCGCGTATTTAATTTCCTACCACCAACCGGTTTCAGATAGGATTACCCATACAATTTCACCTCATGAGACATTTAAGAAAAAAAATCCAATTATTTTTGAAAAATTACACGTGCAACATCAAAATATTATGAATTTTATTTTGTAAGTGACTATCAAATGGAATTTTCGAGTTCTCATAAATAAAAATCTTATTTTAGATTTTTTTTTTCATTTCAATCTTTGAAATCTGATTTTAGTTGAGGTCATGCATGAGACTTGATATGTAAATGTAAAGGATGAATAAAGTTACTATTAAGAAAATAAACTCCTATATTTTATACAGTAGAAACTCAATTAAATAATAGCTTCTTTTGGTTCCGACTC